AAAGACGTATTAAGGAAGCCTAAGGGATAATACTGTGCATGTATTTGAAAGTTTTAAAGGTGAAGAGCATATAAATATTTTAAGTATAACCACCTATGAATGGATGTTTTTCTTCAAGAAAGACTGTGTTATTCAGTTTTCTATTACTGTAACAAATTTTGAGACAATCAACTTAAAACGAGAAAAGACTTATTTTAGCTCACAGGTTTGGAGGTTTAGGTCCCATTTGCTTTGGGACTACAGTAGCTCATCATGGTAGAAGCTCATGGTAGAGTAACCCATTCAATGTCTGGGACAAAAAGGAAGGAGAAAAAGGAAGAGAAGTACTGGGGTCCCTCTGTTCCTTTCAAGGACACACCCACTGACGAGAAACCTTCTGCTAAGGTCCACCTGTTAAACTTATTACCACCTCTAAAAAAATACCACGCTGGAGATTAAGCCTTATGGGCCTTTGGGAGTCCAAAGTATAGCAGGAATTTTGAGTAACTAAGATTCACTGATATATTTTGAGGCYAGAGAGAAATGACTTGTTTAGCCATTAAGACTTGAATTTAACAATACATAGCTTGTTCCACAGGAAAATTATTTTCCACAGGSTTCTTATTTTTTAACTTTTTATTTTCAAGAAGTCCTGGGTTTGGTTAGCTGCATAAAACATACATAATTATATTAGATTCTTATTTTCTAAAACACATCTTGCATGTTTATTCACTATTGTAGATATCTCTTAGAGCCATTTTGCTTTGTGTGTTCCCTTGAGATATAAATAGCTAGCTCAGTCACCTTTATTGCCACCTTTGGGAATTGAAGGGAAAGCAGTATTTGAGTGAGAATAATCAATTTGGGGACGCTATGTTTGATGTTGACTTATGCAGGGATGATTTTAATAATACTTGTAGAAGACCAAAGATTTTAGTACTTTGCAAATTTTGCTTCTCTGTATTTAGCCTCGGTTGTTTTCACTAGTAAAATTCAGATTTTTCACTTGTTTTCACTTAGGAAAAAAGATGCTGCATAAATCTAAAGCATTATGTGTGATTATGAATTCACTACATTTCAAAGATAATATATTCCTTCCAAGCTTAATAGGTGTAGGGATTAGAGAAATTGAGAAGCCCCTTTTTCTCAGAATCTGTGGTTGAAGAAAACAGTCTGTGTTTACGTAGATCCTGAAGTTTTTACTCTGGCTCTCTTAGGAATCAAGTAACAAATTGAGTTGGTTTTCAGAGCAGTTCACTAATATTCACCAATGAAATCTCCCCAATGGACAAATCAAGTTTCACTATGAACCTCCTGAAAAGCTCAGTTCTTCCTCTTGGGAAAGTCTGTATTTTCACATGGTAATCATCATATTGTCAAAATATGAGCTATAAGCATTTGCCCATATCTGTGAAATTTTAATAACTTAATGAGGTATAACTTCCTCATTTAGGTGTTTTAGGCAATAAGCAATTTTTAGCTTATCTCATCACTGGTTTTGGATTCACAGTCATACTTGGGCCATTGATTATATGTCTATTTTTTTCTGGGATAGTATATGGCATAACATTATATAGACCAGGCATTTAATGTATATTTGATATAATATTAGAAGAAAAAGTAGTTTATATTTTATTTTTAGTTCACAAARTATTCATAGGTTTTAACCTGCTTAAAAATTACAAATTGAGACTGTAAAAGGTGAGAGATTTTCTAATCTCCCACAAAGCCAAGCATGGATCACTTTTGGAATGTGGACTAAAATAATGTACTTTGGTCTTTTGTTGTTATTGATAATGTGATATAGCTAATTGTTTTCAAATATTAAGATGATATTTGTTTTAGTTAGCTTTTCTGCTGCTGTACCTAAAGGATCCAACCAGYACAATTGTAGAGGAGGAAAAGTTTATTTGAGAGCTCATGGTTTCAAAGGTTGACAGAGGGCTCCCATTCCTCTGGGCTCAAGGTGAGGAAGGATATCATGGCTGGAGAGTGTGGCAGAGGAAAGCAGCTCACATCATGGTGGTCAGGAAGTCGAGAGAAAAACTCCACTGGACAGGTACAAATATATACCCAAAGCCATGCCACAATTCCCACCTCCTCCAGCCATTAACCTACCATTCAGTTAATCCCTATTAGAGGATTATATCACTGATTGGGTTAAGACTSTCTTACAACCAAATCATTTCTCCTTAGAACCTTCTTGCATTGTTTCACATGTGAGCTTTTGAGGGACACCTTACATTGAAACCATAACAATATTGTAGCAGTTATGGTGCATAGTACTGAGGCCAAACATGATTGAACTTTCTAGGAAAGACAAAATTTTGAAATATCTTTCCCATCTGTAACTCTTAGGTATAAGAACATACAATGATTATGAAATACATAAAGCATATGTTCAAACATGAATATCCTAGCACTAAAAATAAATCTGTCCATATTTAATTTTTATTAATTTTATTTTTTAAGTTTCATGACATATATCTCAAGATTATTATAGACTCAATTATGAAACTATCCTAATGAGTAGAGTTTTTTTTTTTAAATTGAAGATTTGCCCTATTTGTATGAGTATTCTTTAATCTCCTCTCATCATATATCTTTCTGGTGACCTCTGTATCAATGTTTGAATTGATGGAATAGATATTGTGAATTCACAGAAGAGAATGGACATACATGTCTTAGGCACTACAGGATGAGACCTAGAACAGRGCTTGCCATGAGTAAATTTTTGAAAGGATAATTTCTTTACTTTTATTAAAGAAGATTGTATATAAATAATATGGAGTTCTCAGAAATAACATAAATTTATTATTTATATTTTAGTAACTTGTTCTAAACTTGAGCTTGTGAACTTTTGACCTTCCATACTAAACTTATAGGACAAACTTAACAATAAAAGTAGAACAATGTTAATATTCTTAGATGAATATTTAATTATACAGGTGTAAATAATTGTTTCTCATATTTAATAACTTTTGACATATTCTATAAAAATTATTTCCCCTTAAGATCATTGTGTAAGACAATCTTTTAATAATATTTTAATACATTTAAGTAATATATTCAAATAATTTCAAGGAGAGTTCTTATGATATTTGCTAGAAAATTAGTGACAGAGAAGGGATATTAAACTGTTCCATAATATTAAATATAATATCCTATTATTAATCTAAGTACAATTTAAAGACTACATTAAAAATTTGACTTTAAGGGCTTTGCAGGTTCTTAGAACCTGAAAACAAGTAATTGCAATATACTATAATTCGTAACACACTGATCCAAGTAGAAGACTTTTAGGTGTACCCTTGAATATCTTTGAGTGTAAACTCTTTTTCCCAGTGGGGCTGTTGGAGGCCAACTACAACTTTAACTTTCACTCTCCTAAAAAAATTGAAATTTACTTAAATTATTTTCTCTTTAATATCTTCCTTATATGTCTTGCTTTTTGTAGAAATCTAATAAGAAAAGAATATGGATTTTCTTTTCATTTAATAGGAAAGGAAATAATAAAGACATTAAAGGAAATTATGGCAGTACTCAAGTCTTTAATTTTTTCATCTCTGAGGGTAATCTTATTTTGCTGAATTAGTTGTGAACTTACTTTGAGTTATACTCTCTACTGAATATTTTGCCCTTAGTTGAGGAGAGATCCAAACCAAATGAGTCTTCAGAGGTCAAAAGAAATTACAGATTCAATTTACCAAATTTTATTGAACTGTCATTACCTGAGCCCTTGTCACAGTCACCTGCCTTAAAATACATGATTTTAAATTTTTTTTGAAAGCTAATTATAGCATTGATGATATTATTAATGATATGCTTGTTATATGTCAGGCACTGTGATTGTGTTGTATAAATTAATCTTCTCAAAAAACCCACTTTATAGGGGAGGAAATTGTGTTTCTGATCAGTTTAAACCACTTGCTTAAGGGCTCTGTTAGTTGGTGATTTGCAGAACTGGCTTCTTTCTCAGATATGTCCTACTTCAATATATTTACTCTTTTTTTATTGTTGGTTGTTCAAAACATTACATAGTTCTTGATATATCATATTTCACACTTTGATTCAAGTGGGTTATGAACTCCATTTTTACCCCGTATACAGATTGCAGAATCACATCAATTACACTTCCATTGATTTACATATATTTACTCTTGAGTAGTTGGTTTAGCCTACTTTTCATTTCTATAGAATTGGAATAAAAATAATTTTATTGATTATTATAATTGCCTTTATTAATTACCAATACTTCAAAATATTTGCTTTCCTGATTTTTTAATTCCTTGCTCATGCTCATTGTTAATTTGATAGATGGAAAGATGACCAAAGCCTTATGTTTTGTAAGAAACTGAACCTTTTGAAATGAGAAAAAGAAAAGAAGTTAGAATGGATTATTTTATTTTCAAAATTACTAACCTACTTTGTTATTTTCAGGGAAAAGAAGACAATATTTTAAGAAAATATATTTATTTGATCAATGTAATTTAATGGTCAGAGTGTTGACCTTTGAGTTGGAGAAGAATATTATATTGAAAAAAATTAATGAACCATCTTATTTCTTAGTTATTAAATTAGGATAGTACTTACTGTTTCCATGTCCTATTTCATGGGAAAATTGGAAAAAGTATTATAATTACCTTAATCAAGTGTAAATGCATAGAGTAAATAGCCAATTGTAAGAATGAAAGTTATTGAATTATTATTATTTATTTATTTGTTTTTTTTGTAAGGCACTGAGATCAATCCCTAGGACCACTGGGGGTGAGATGGGGGGCTGATTTAAAATTATTTTATCCTTCTAGAAAAATCTTATTTAGCATTTCTGAAGTACAGCTAGATGTTATACCTGATTATTAGATGATATGCCTTTCCTGAATTTAAATCTTATAAAGAAATACTTGCCCTTAATAAGAAAAAGTTTATATGAAGAATAATATGTCTTATACTTTTGGAATTTTGATTTCTCATATTGGTGTTACAGGATTTTCTTAATGTTACCATAATTACTTTTTTAGTGTATTTTGGGATCTCTACTGTGCAGCTCCAGAGAGACGGGAAACATGTGAACACTCAAGTGAAGCAAAAGCCTTCCATGATTATGTAAGTGAACATAACGCTTTACAAAGTTATACTATCAATTTTCTTTTTAACCCAAATGCTTTGGGTCATCTATTATTTTGTTTTAGCACTTAAGAAATGGTTGGTTTTCTTTTCTTTTTTCTTTTTCATCTTGAAACTTAGGCTCATAATTTTAAAATGAAATACAAAGGTATATTTGAGATATTGTTGAAGCTTAGGATAAAGAGTAGGTCTAACTCCTAACTGTTAAAGGTATTTCTTATTGTTAAGCATGTCTGATTTGTGAAATATCAGATTTACAAAAATGAGATAGTAATTCTTTAGTTTCCAAAGATATTTATGGCAAGATTTCTGTAAATGGTTACTTCTCAATTTTTAAATAGATACACACAAATACATACACACAAATATTCCATTCTCCCTTTGAAAATTTTGGTTATAAATCTTAAGACTGTTCCTGCCACTGAATTCAGTTCACCGAATAAAATTTGTTATGGATTAAAGGAAATGTCAAACAAGAAAGCAGAAGATTCTAGACAAAAATAAATATATGATTTAAAAAAATTCTTGAGGAAGGTCAGTGGACTATCTTTGGTTTGAGCATTTTTAAGTCAATAAGATAATAATTTTAGAAAGCTGATTTTATCAGGAAGTAGAATGATGGAAAAAGAAAGAAAATACAAGAAGGAGAATTTTTCTTTAGGGAAAAATTGCATGTATGAATGAGGAAAAGGTGTTTTAAAGGGGCTGGAAAAACAGTTGTAGAGTAGATCGTAAAAGAAGGACAGATTGAATTTGGGATGGTGGAAATTCAGTTCCCTTTTTTTAGAAGTAGAATTGGGGCAGGAACCTGGGGAAATATCCGACAGCAAACACCTAAAACYTAACTAGAGGGATACTTGTTGGTCGAAGGAAGCATCATTCTGTGCAAAAGTCCTTAAAAATCACATCCAGGGCTCAAAAGGAAAAAAGTCTTTGTTCTTATGCAGGAACTAATTCAATCTTAGACCTAAGAGTTGAATTGGCTAGAAGAATTATAACCCCTCAAAAKAGCAGGAGGGTGAGTATGCAGATTTAAGAGAAATGAAATCTTGGGCACCTGGCAGGACTGTGTAGTTCTTTAAATCTGTACTAACTTGATTGCTTATGATTACCTCATCTGATGTTGATTGTACTCATAAGCTTGACATGTACTAAATAGTAGCTCTTGGACATAAGGTGTATGTAGGGGATTCTACTGCACATAAAACAAAGGAGGTAATAGATAAGTTAGGGCCCAGGCAGGACACAGTATTTCTCTGAACAATTTTACTTTGCTACTTGTAAAAGAGGCATAATATTTGACAATGTATAGTTTACTAAATTAATTATGTAAGTAWTTTTTCAAAATTCTTTTGTGTAGAAAGATACACCCTGCTGTTCACTATAAAGATCTTATGGGGGCTATTGAACTAATTAAGTAGCTATTTCTAGAAATATTAGATAAATTACCATATTGATATTACACTTTYATCTTCATCATTATCATCTCGGCATTCATAAGTCACTTTCAAAATTTCAAAGACTATTCATACTTATTAGGTTTAGAAATACACTTAAATATTTCAAAGTTTTGGAAAATAAGTGTTTGCCAAAGGTAGGTGTGAAATTGAGTGGAATTTAAAGTAAGAACAACTTTTTACCATGTTATTTGGTCCTAGAAAAGTAGTTTATAAAAAATTTAGTATTTGGTTTAATAACACAGTATGAATATTAACACACTTTATTAAGTGTTTAATTTTATATTAAATTTTTAGTATTAAGAGATTCAATTTATTCATAGATAGCATTTTTATTAAATCTTTAAGCCATCTTAGGAGTATTGATACATGCTCAACTTTTTCAAAATCAGGAATTGATAAAAGATAAAATTTGACTTATATAATTTTATATTAAAATTGTATTTTTAGAAATACATTTACTTTCTATCACTTATTTTCATGAAGATTTCCTGATTTATTAATACTAAATGATTTCTGAAAATGATCAACATAATGTGTAAATATAATGGTTTAAATGTGTAAATATAGAAGCTTTAAAATCCTGGTTATTATGAGATCTAAAGTGGACCGTGGATATTTCTTGGATATTCAATTTCTTTGAATTTATATCTACAAGTGGGATTGCTGGATCAAATGGTAAATCAGTTTTTAGTTTTTCAAGAATAAGCAATAAGATTTTTGTAAAATTCTAGAATGTTATATTTCTGTGCTACAGTTCATTATGGAATGATTCCTAAATGGGTAACTAATATGTTTATCTATTGAACTTTAAGGTAGTTCTCAAGAAAGTATTCTGAAAAAATATTTCCTTTAATACCTGTGTTCTTCAGAATAGAAAAATACTTACTTATTGCATGTGTAAATCCTGATATGTTTCATAAGGATTTCCTGAAAATTAGTCTTTTTATTTTACTTCTTACCTGTATAACTAATTATATAATGACAGATTGCTTTTTCTTAAAGAAATAATGGAGATATACTAAGGTAAATAATCAATAATCCTTTCCATTAAAAATAGGCTAAAATGTTGAAGTTACTATCTTTGGATATTTGGATTCAACTTTTATATATATATAAAATTTCTAAATCCTTATCTAGAAAAGTTACCTTAAAGGTCGTTTTCATCTTTTGATGAGTTCTTGTTTCTCTTCTGAAATTGGAAAATTAAAAACTTTGAAAAATAAAATTTAAATTGAAAAATGGTCATATATTTTTCCTACAATCATATTACATACATAGACATTTAGCATTGCTCATAAAAGTCATTTGTGCTTTTTTTGCATATGTATATATTGAGAGACATTTATAAACTAAATAGATAAATTTTCAGCCATCTTTTATTTTTAACTCCTTTTTTGACGTGTTACTGACATACAAAAAGCTATAGATATGTAATATCTATAATTTGATGTGTTTGGCAAGAAGTATACCTATGCARCAAGAATCCTCAAAATCAATGCCATAAACTTATCTGTGATCTTCAAAAGATTTCTCCACCTCTAATTTTTGTTTTTTCTTTTGCAATAAGGGTACTAAACATACAATATAATCTTTCAGTGAATTTTTAAGTAGACAATATTGTTAATCGTATGCCCAATGTTGAATATTAGATGTCCAGAATTTACATTACATGATTTTGTGTATTTTGACCAGTACCTCACCATTTCTCCCTCTTCTCAGTTCATGGCAAACCACCATTGTACTTTCTGTTTGTATGGRTTTGATCTTTTTAGATTCTACATAAAACTAAGATTTATCTCCTCTGTGTATTTCTCCTCTGTGACTGGCTTATTTAGTTTAATGTGTCCTCTAGTTTCATTTGTTGCAAATGGCAAAATTTGCTTTATTTTCAAGTGTATTATTCTGTTGTGTATATATACTACATTTTCTTTAGGTTGATTCTATATCTTGGTTATTACGAATGATCTAAAGTGGACATTGGATATTTCTTGGATAYTCAATTTCTTTGAATTTATACCTACAAGTGGGATTGCTGGATCAAATGGTAAATTGGTTTTTAGTTTTTCAAGAAATCTTCATAYTGTTTTTCAAAATGGTTGCACCAGTTTACATTTATGATAGTAGTTTACAGRAATYCTTTTTCTGCACATCCTCACTGAAACTTGTCTTTCATTCTATAATTTTTAATACTTTTTTGTAATTATTATTCCAGATTTTGAATGTTTTAATGTTTTAATATTTTAATTTATTGGTTCTTTTTAGTTATACATGACAGCAGAATCTATTTTGATATGCTTATAGAAGCATGGAAAATATATTATTCTAGTTAGGATCCCATTCTTATGGATGTACATGATGGTGGGATTCATAGTGTTGTTTTCATATATGTACGTGGGAAAATTATGTCAGATTCATTCCACTATTTTTCCTTTACCTATCCCTGTTCCCTCCCTTCCATTTCCCATTGTCTAATCTACTGACTTCTATTCTTCCCCTTATCCCTACCCCTTATTGTGGATTAGTTTTCACATATTAGAAAACATTTGATCTTTGGTTTTTGGGGACTGGCTTATTTCACTTAGTATGATAGTCTTCACATCCATCCATTGCTGCCAAATGTCATAAAGACGTTCTTCTTTATGACTGAGTAATACTCCATTTRTGTGTGCCTGTGTGTGTGTGTGTGTGTTTGTGTGTGTGTGTGTTTGTGTGTATCACATTCTTTATTCATTCATCTGTTTWTTGGCATCTGAATGAGGTTCCATGACTTGGCTATTGCAAATTGAGCTGCTATAAATATCGATGTGGATGTATCACTGTAGTATGTTGATTTTAAATCTTTTGGATATATACTGAGGAGTGGGATAATGAGATAAAATGGTAGTTCCATTCCAAACTTTCTGAGTAATCTCCAAACTGTTTTCCAGAGTGGTTGCACCAATTTACAGTCCCACCAGCAATATATACTTTCCCCCCATATTCTCACCAACATTTATTGCTGCTTATATTCTTGATAATTATTATTCTGACTGGAGTGAGATGGAATCTCAATGTAGTTTTTATTTGCATTTCCCTAATTGTTAGAGATGTTGAACATTTTTTCATGTATTTGTATTTYTTCTTTACTGAACATTGCCTSTTAGAGTATGGACTTTTGTTGTTTTATCATTTGCCAAATGATTACACATGCAGTATTAATATATTTTTCCTCAAAAAATCATCCTGTGCACAATTATTATGAGAAAAAGAGAAAACTTTTAAGATGAGTGAAACCTTGGTCTTGCATTTATATTTTAAAATAAAAGAAGTTAAATACTTAGTATCAATACGTGTTGCTARTATAAAATATGATGCACTTAGAAGTAAACAGTTAATAGTGTATAGGAGGGCTGGGGATGTGGCTCAAGCGGTAGTGCGCTTGCCTGGTATGCGTGCGGCCCGGGGTTTGATCCTCAGCACCACATAAAAAACAAAAACAAACAAACAAACAAAAAACCCAAAGATGTTGTGTCCGCCGAA